TGTCTCGCCATTTTCCAGATCCAATATATGAGTACGTCTCATTTCCTGGTACCACCGCAGTCTAATCTCAAATAAATCATATGTATTTTAATTCACCCATCATCAGTGAATTTATGATCCCTGTACTTTTTCAGGACCCACTACAGACAAGACAGCAGAGCAAGAAACGTGAGATAATGAAAGAGCACGACTGGACTTTCTGTGCACCTTCAACTGACAAGCTGTTCATAAAGACCATCTCCTGTCTTGTTTTCTTCCCTGTCCTCTCCTCTCTCATCTCATGATGCAATTCACTCTGCCCCAGATACTGTAGAACTTGTATGACATTTGCTGCCATCACATTGGTAAATGATATTCCTCTTGTTATTCTCTTAATTAGACTGTTCTTCACAGTAGGGACTAATTGGTTAAAAATCAATTATAAGTTAACGACCAAACAAAAGAGGTGGCCTGGTTTTCCAAATCTTCATATAAATACTACTTTCATGAACACAGATATTATTATTACTCTTAATAAAAACAATAGGTATTTGAGAGACTACCTCTTAGTCCAGACTTCACTGTTTTCCATTTTCATACTGTATCTTCAGATGCTAATTTCACAAAAAATCCTTTTTATATATAATTTTAGCCAAACATATTTTACACAGTGCTCTCTCTTTGATGAGATTCCACTTAGCAAATCTCCTATTACACAAGGCAAAGAATGAATATACTTTGCATACATATAGTCTACAAACTTTTCATAACGCTTCTCCTCGCACAGCTGTGATCTGAAACCTGGCTAGCTTCTTTTGTAAACTCACAGTACACATAACCAGGGAATTAGGTACAACAAGAACGACTGAAAAGGTGGTTGGTACATAGGAACTACATGACCTGCTAAAACAACTCTCACTGTCCCCCCAGTTAAAAAAAAAAAAAAGTGTGTCTTGTAATTTCCAGAATATCTTCAGAATTTCTCTATATTGATTTACTGCTTTCTGCAAATTCAAATGTCTTCTAGTTTCTTTTACAAAAACTTGCTTATCTTTATCGATCACAGTATAAATCACTGTGCCAATCTGCATGCAGAAAAACATGTTCAGTATGCTTCCCATTAAAAATACACAGCTACACAATATAAAAGACCATCTCAATCATTTGCTTTATGCCATTGGACCTACTTTCATTTTATAACTTAAAAGGAAAGTAGGTTAAAATGGTATAAGCAATTACTCTGTCCATAGGGTGTTGTGCTTTTCCAAAATATCTATTTCAGCATTTATCTCATGCTGTAACATTCCCTGACAAACTTGGTATTCTGGGATTTTACTTGTTACAGCCTCCAAAATACTTCATACAACTTAAGAACTTAAAGTTCATTTTTCCATGTCCTCTTTCAAATTTCTGTTTATTTTGGAAACTCTGCTGACCACTTAGATTTTGAGAGACTTCAGTGTAAAAAGGTTATTCCAGTTAAAATTATTTGCAGATGACTTTGGAATTATTATAAGTACATGGCCACAAGCACAGCCACATAACTATTTATATACCATGGCACTTGGAAACCCTTTTCACAAAACAGAAGTCCACTCTGCAGGGTACTACACAGAGGAAGCTTATTTTTGTCTTTAAGAGCTTGCATTCAGTATAAGGCAGGGGAAAAAAAAAGAATACTGACATATGGGCAAGGATATAAAGAAACTAAGACAACAAGGTCAGAGCAACAGACTGTGCTTTTTGCACACCAGTAGTCTATCTCAACCTCATTTGAGCGTCTCACAGTACTTGAGTAGCACTGAGCAATGGGAAATGACTATACTCCCGATCAACAACATCCAACAGCAGCAACAGAACTTCAGGCAGTGAAAGGGCACTTTCTTCAAACTAAATGCAGAGCTCATGCAGCACGTCAGTGGTGAAAGAACGATGTGAAACTCCATAAGCAATGTCTTGTGCTTCCTCCTGTTATTTTGGAAGGCCATGTTTGTACCCACTCAGCTGAAAAAAATAATCTTTCATTTGACATTTGGATCCATGGAAATAGTAGCTATTGAGAGTACAATGGAATATGTACCTGGAAGACTGAAAGGAAAGCTCATGGCAAAACTAGATGTTTTTAAGTATCTGCCTCTTTCTAAAAGCTAGAGATCTTAAAGCTACAGATCCTTACATATTAGTTCTAAGAGAAAGAGGATACCCTTTCAATGAAAGCTATGGAGTAAAAAACATCTGAATAATTCTATGAAGAATCAAAGAGGCTGCTTCCACAAAAAATCCCAACTAACTCAAGAAGATGCGAGATAAGATCTGTTTGGGGAAATTAACTGTACGCTTTTTAACACAAATTAACGAAATCAGCTAAAAAGAGCATTTGATATTAAGTGGTTCATCAGAAACAGAGTTAAAAACTAGATAAAAGGCATCAGTCTTGTCATTCTTCCTTTCTCACTCCAACTTTGACCACTTATTTCATGCAGAGACATTTAAAAAAGTTTGCAGAGCTATCATAAATCAAGTAATACACCTAGAACTTACTGTATCTCCATTTTTCTCTATTCTAGACTATCATATTTAATACAAATCCACAGAGGTTACCAAATTACAATTTTTTTCATTAAATCTGAATAGGATATAATATTTCTTCTTATTCTAGTTGGAGTTTACACATTACATACAAAAATGTGCTGCTTGTGCTGCAGCACTAACAAATGAGTTTCCTAGAGGTACGGAACTTGTAAGAAACTTAGTTATAAGACCCTGACAAGAATAATTAAAATTCCAAAGTTTCAACCTGGCATTCATATTAGAACTCACTGTTAATGAAATTCTATTTCACATTACTGTATCCCTATGATGTAGAAGACATTTACTAAAAGGCAAGTGAATGATGCAAAAGAAGAATTAAGAAGTATGGTGAAAATTAGGAAAACGTGCTTGCAGAGGACAAAGACATTCATTCTAAAAAGGTACACTTGGTTCTTTACTACCTGTAAAGTTCATGAGAGCAGAGAAAACTCACACTACCCAGATAACTGAAGAAACTGTTATCAAGCATGCATAAAGAGCACTAGTGAACTGAGAAGACTAAAATATAGTTTAGTCAATACAGTAAACTTGAAAGAGGAAACTACCTGTGTGCGGATTTACTGCAGCAGACCTTCCACTAAGAAGTGAGCTAGATTGGTAAAAAAAAAAAAATAATTTCTACAATGTGCGTCCCAGAAAGCACTGCCATAGGGACTTTGTAGAAACAAGTGCTAAAGCAGTAAAAGGAGACTCAAAGGTAAGAGGAAATACTATTGCTCAACTCCCTGACCAAAAGATTCTACAAAATATACAGCCAACCAAAATATGCAATAGGGGGGGAACTAACATCTTTATCTCAGCTGTGACTCACTCTTTAAGTATCATTTATTTTCTTAGGAACCCCTGTAAGTAAAATGAAAACCGCTTTCACTGACCAGAACCACAGGGAGAATATTGTCCTTCTAATTGGATTTTCTATATATTGGCAACTCCTTGTCTTAGGACATTACAGGAAATAAAGGCCCAGATCAGCTTTTTTTTTTTTTATAACAAAGAACATAACTGTTTTAAAGCTGAGTACAGGAAACCTCCATGATATAGGAAGAAAGAAAGCAAAAAACTAAAATCGATTATCTGAACATTATAGGTATAGCGCATATTTTGCTATCTTCCCTACTCCATCAAAAAAGAAAAGAAAAAAAATTTACACTTTGTAGGCATGAGCATAACCTTAAAACGCAAACTGATGTGACAATCCCAGTTCTACATGTTAACAGAAACTGTAGCGTCATTCATGTCAATGAGAGTCAGTCTTTTAATTTCTGTTCAAAAATTCACTGATGATGCTTATGCTAGCAAAACTTAGTTAACACATTGCACTCTTTTGCACATGGCTTATTTTCAAAATCGTAGACTTCAAAAAGCTTTATTTAGAGCAACATTGACTAGTACTGCAAATATATGGTTTACTCTATCTTCAAAACAGAAGCGCTGTTGTTATCACTTAGCCCTTATGTTTAAAATCTCAGGGAAAAGAAGCGGGATTGAAAAAAAAAAGCAGTATACTACATTTTGAACCTTCTTCTTGATAGAAGAACAAGATTCTTGATTCTTTCCACTAAACCTTCACAGATAAACCTAGAATAAAATTCCATGAAGCTAACAAAAAGTACCAAATTCACAGATAAAAGAAAAGCATCTGAAATGGGAAAAATATTTAAGTTGTAAATGAAATCCCTTCATCTTAATATCAAATTTAAGATTCCACATCTGAAACTCAAGTCCACTGTGTATGAGTTCTGTAAGGGGAGTGCATAAAAAAATACACCTACATTGCATAGAAGTATACCTTCGCTGTATACAACAGTACAGCGTTGATATATCAACATTACAGTGTTGAGCTAACCTAGACACCAAAAACAACCTACCTGCTGTACCACAGGCAAATTAGGAGGTTTGTGATACTTTCACGTTACTGATGCTACTTTGCTTTTGGTACCTTGCACTCCACCATGCAGTATAAGCATATCCTCAGGTAATGCAGTGTCTTTAACTCATTAAATGCATGAAAATAAGTATCTTAGAACAAGGTATGATGATGAATGACATTTAAAACTACCCATTATACAAAAAGGGAGAAAGCTCTTCACTAATCAATGGCATAACCACACATGAAAACTCTCTGCTACTATTACTAATCAATAAAGCCTTAGAAACGCACAAGAGCAATCCAAGAAGAACAGCACAAAAGCAAGACATTATTCAAATACTTACTGTAGTTTTAACAAATGATGTTTACTTTGTGATTCAGGTATATAGATATCAAATATCCATTATTTTTAAATAAAAAACCTTAATCTGAATTGCAAATCAATTTAAAAGCTTTAAAAGGTGCAAAGGATGTTTAAAGAGTACCGCTGTGTTTCTCTAACTAAAAGTTATCCCTACACTGCTAGGGAACCATAAATGTTAATTATCATTTAACTCACCTGGCCTGGCTGTGGGGATAAAAAATTAACAACTTCCTCCAGCATCACTGGCATATGCAATCTTCCATAACTTTTGTCTTCTGCAATTTGAGGCAACTCTTCGGTTTCACGTTTTTGTATGGTTTCTTCCTTTAACTCACATTCAGAAAGCTGTTTTACTGAAGAATGGATCCTTCTGGTGAAAGTAACTGCATTTATTGAGCTCAGTTCTAAATTGCGTAGAAGCAACCATTTGCAAACTTGGCACAGAGACTGAGATAACATTTTGGAGTTGGTCAACCTAGAAAAATAGTAGATGCTCGGAATTATTTTAGAACAAATATTTAAATAGTAGGTTGGTTAAAAAACAAAACAGTGGAAATGCTGTAAGAATATTGTTACCTATCCCAAGATAGGAGGTTCCACACAAACAACATGTCAGCAAAAATTTCATCAGAATCTCTTACTTAAGTCTGTTTTCAGAAATTTCAAGGCCATCTACTCATCAATCCTGTTCAAGCTACAATGATTTTCTTTTCACAAACACCTTCCTTTCTTTTTCATTGGACTCTAACAGTGTTATAATGTTCTGGAGACGGTAACACTAAACAACAGCAATAAAATGAAGCACCAGTAAAATACTAACTTTACTTTCAGGTTGTTCCTCTCTTCTGCCGAAGCAATGAAACACTTGCTCTGAATAGTAGCGTTCTGGCTGCTAAGTTTTCTGTACTTCTAATTAAAATAGGAATTGACAAATCAAACACTGCAACTGGATTTAAAATGGTGCTATAATTACACAGCATTACAATTAACGTATGTATAGTAAATATATTATCACGCATTATGTCTTGTAATTAAAGCACATCTAAAGGCAGGAAACGCCACAGAGAGAACTGTGAACTCTGACTGCTATTGCTAAATGAAACAGTAGTCTAGTCCCCGGAAATATCAGCACTGTTGGCTATAATTTGTGTTTTAAAAACACATCTTTTAACTATCTGAGAACTGGTAAGTTTCTTCCGATGCCCAAACACTCAAAAAGTAAGTCAGTCACCTACTAGTAGAATACTGGAGTAAATAGATTTTATCTTCCATTAAAAAAAAAGACAGTCAGTTTAACACAGGTAATAGTAAGGCTTTATTTACAAGTTTTCTATATTTCTTTATGGAGCAGAGACCTTCCGTAACACTACATTTCACACTTGCTCTTGGCATACAGGAAAGTTACAAACTTTGACATAAGACCATTTGAAAATATGCCATCCTGTATTTAAACCATCAACAGATGCATAATCTTGTTTACCTATCAGGTTTTTATTGCATGCTTTGTTTAGATCCAGCTAGCCAGAGGTTTTACCCATTTTGTCTGCATGGATAGAAATGTGCTGAGTCATCGTTTTTGGAAAGTTACTCTCATAGTACTTTAAGCTCCAATACCAATAGCCCCACTATGTCCCCTTGTTCTAAATTTCAAAGCATGCATCATCTTACAGTCAGACATATCCCGCAATGAACCACAGCCTCTCTGTAGAGATTACTGTATGAACAGGGAAAACACACACAAGTGTGATCTAACCACATGCACGCTTGGTCACACTGCCTTCTGATACCACGAGCCTCAGAAAGCGTTACTAATGCTAGAGACACAGACCATCTTACTTACACCTGTTATCAGTCTATGCAACTTTTTTTTTAATACTGTGAGAAACAAGGATAGTTTGGGTTTTTTTTTTCTCCATTCCAAGCGTGAAGTAGCATCTGGGCACAGTCTGAGCCAAAAGCCCGTAGAGCGAGACTCGTGCTGAAGGGGACGGAAGCGCAGCTAGGGAACAGACACTCGACTGGCTAACACTGTTCGCAGCGACCCCAGAGCCGGAGCGGGCACCGAGCATCCATCCCGCCAGCGCCCGCTGGCAACCTCCCCGGGCACGGCACGGCCCCGACGGG